GGGCTCCAGAAAAGCCTGAGACACAGTAGGAGAGCATGCCATGGAGCCACAGTGTGAGAGCTGGGCTGAACACTGAGAATGTACTGGGACCCCGGATCTCACTCAGATCTTGGACCCCTAAAAAAAAATCATCACTTTCCCATATACTTGCAGCTTTTGCAAGTGCACACACACACACCATGGAGAAAGCAGCTCCCAACAACACATCAAGCCCAGCCTTGTTTAATTTGAAAATAGACATCTCAGGTCTTAATAATAATAATAATAATAATAATAATAATAATAATAATATAATAATCTTACCAGATAATTCAGCAGTTTTCCCTGAAAAGAAAGACATGGCCGCATAGTTTCCACGTGAAACAGTTTCAAACGTCCTACATTTGGGCTGTTCACAGAGGCTAATATTTGAATGCACTTGGGACACTCTGTCCCAAATTCCAATGTAATCATCATGACCAGCAGGGCCTGGGAGATCTTCGAGGTCAATATTAGCTTTCACCAATAGCATACAAGATGGACTGGAGTGACACCCGGTTGCAGGTCTATTTTTACCAAGTAGTATTTACAACATACTCTCCTCTCCTAGTTCATACGCTCAAGAACTCTGTGGAAAATCACGAGGTCCCTAACGTGGCCATGCACGCGTTTCTTCCTTCTGGTTCCTGGATTCCACTTCACACCCTTTCCTTTCTGCATTTGAGCAACAATACTGCAAAACGTGCTCTGTCTTTACCATTGTGAAAGTGTCAGCTGAGAAAGATCTAGAAAGGTCATGCTCCGTGGCCATTAAATTTATGTTCCAGCAACAAATCAAGAGCAAAAAACCAGTCTGAGATAGATCAGGGTAACCGGGGACCTCACGGAGGCATCCAGCCCATCAGCTGACATGTTAGCCAGCAAAACATTGAGATAAATGAATTTATAAACAAAACGCTTGTTTAAAAATCAACTAAGTATGATTAGGCTATGAATCAAGACTTGATTTTTTTTTCCCTAAGTATATGAAATTTTAACACCAATATTAAATCCACAGCATCTTATCAGCTCTGCTCTTCCCATCCTGGACATTTGTTTTCTTAGAAACTAAACTGGAAAGAGCATGGGGAGTTACTCTATGTGGAAATGCATAGTTTATTGGTCACCCCAAAAATAACCAAGCTAGTCTTGGTCGGATTTTTCAACCTCCCAAAATCAATTAAAAGTGAGAAAAATTAAGAACAATAGCATACAGTATATGTGGATGAAGTTGTAGACCCAAAGCTTTTACGCCAAAATGCTTGTGATTTTTTTTGATATAGCATGCTTAAAAACTGAAAACAATTTTTGGATTGCTTACACACTCTGAAGTGCTTCCTGCCTACATATCCTCAGTAGTCCCAGGAGCTTTCCCTGGACACATGGAAAATTTCAAGTTGAGCCATTTTTAAGTTACCCGTGAGTGGAAGCAAAAAGAAGGGGGGAAAAAAATACATGAAATGGGAGTCTGAATTTGTCATAAAAGAAGAAAAAAAAGCTTTTTGCTCTTTCTTTCCTGTTCCTTGAATTCTTCACAATGGTTCAACATAGTTTGCCCAAGTTGTAGATTTTTGGTTTTTGGGTTTTTTTCCCCCCACAAAGAATAGAATCACCTTTGAGCTGAAGCCAAGTATGAATGTATTCAGTGTGCCGTAGAAGAGAACACCAGGGAATTCTGCAGCAGATCTATTCGGAACTGTAAAACTGGCATTGCCAGACACAAATCAGGTCACAGGTCACAGTGATAAATAACCACAGGGGGCAGAAAGAAAGCACCTACTTAGTATCCATCAGCCAAAAAAAATAGATTTTTAAATTTTATTTTGAAGCCTTTAACCCAAAAATAATTGTGTCAATGGTAGGCATCGCTAGATCAGGAGCTAAGCAATGTGAAACACTGGCTTCCTGGATTCTGATATCCTGGGCACTGCCTCGGCCAGCTGTGGTTGTCGGAGAGACACTAACTACGTCCTAAATTAAAAGTTTCCGAGATTCTTTATAAATCTCATCCATGAGGTAACTTGTAGTCTGGTGATGATGCCCGTAACAATTGCGGCTCAGAGGAGTAGAAATTCAAAAGTGTTTGTAAACCAACAGGCTAAACTAGTTAAGTATGGAGGAGAGAACCAAATTGGTTTACAGGGAAACACCCCACTCAGAAATTTAGTTCCTGGCTTCATTTCATGAATTTCACATAAATATCTGTGGAGATT